ACTATGCATGCATCATGTAGATTCTCTTCTTTTCGTTCTCTGAGAAGCCATTCAAGTATTATTCGGTCTTTTAGTGCGACTTCTATCATGTATTACACATCGTTCCCGCCAACGGGCCCTTCAAAACCGGAATAGTGCATAGTGCTATGGATGAACGGAAAAGAACAGAACCAGTGTGATGAAGGATGCTTATTAGTGTATATTAACGCACAAAAAGTAGGTGTCCTTCTAAAAAAGAAGATCGTTAATACTTGACAATCACTAGTAATACAAGCAAAAGTAAAAATGGGCAAGCTTGACGGAAAGATTGCTCTCATCACGGGTGGTTCTGAAGGTATTGGTTTCGCTACTGCTCAACGGTTCCTTGCTGAAGGCGCAACTCATCTCTTCATTACTGGACGACGCAAAGAAGTGGTTGACGAAGCTGTGACAAAACTCGGTGGTAAAAATGTAACCGCAATACAAGGTGACACATCCAATCTGGATGATCTCGACAAGTTATACAGCTTGATTCGGAAGGAGCAAGGTCGACTGGACATTCTTTTCGCCAATGCAGGTGGAGGAACATTTGCACAGCTCGGCTCGATCACTGAAAAACATTTTGACGATACTTTCAACGTCAATGTGAAAGGAGTGCTCTTCACCGTTCAAAAGGCTTTGCCAATATTCACCGATGGCGGATCGATCATTCTCAATGGGTCTACGGTATCCGTCAAAGGGGTGCCTGATATGAGCGTCTATTGTGCTACGAAGGCAGCCATTCGCTCTTTCGCGCGTTGCTGGGCGGTGGACCTGAAAGAGCGCAAAATCCGGGTGAATACTTTGAGTCCTGGAGCAATCGACACGCCCGCATTCAGATCTCTAGGATGCACCGAAGAAGAGAAGAAAGCATTCATCGCCACTACTGTAATGAATCGCATTGGCGAGCCCGATGAAATTGCCAAAGCTGTCGTCTTTCTCGCTTCGGACGATAGCAGTTACGTGACTGCTATCGAACTTTTCGTCGATGGAGGCAGATCACAAATTTAAGCCAATTGATTAGTGTGTTCACACTAAAAAATAATGTGTCTTATAGTAAGACGCGTAAGTCGGATCAGAAAAAGTCGCATTAAAACGTCTTACTGTAAGCCACTATATGTGTCTTGCGAAGGCAGACACTTGAATGTGTCTTACAGCGAGACACATTAATGCATCTTACAGCGAGACACATTAATGCATCTTACAGCGAGACACATTAATGCATCTTTTTCTGATCCGACTTACGCGCCTTACTATAAGACACCTGAAAGTGCCTTAAGTGCATTTTGTCTGGTTTAATTCGATGTTTTAGAACCCGATACAATGCAGGTACTTGAATCGCTACTTAAATTAATTGCAATAAGTAGTCGACTCAGTAACTTCCTGAAGA